TGGGGCTGCTGTTCTTGCCCCCCCAACAAAGTAATTTGTCCTAGCTGCTGTCCCAGCTCCTCGATCGTCACAGAAGAGGGTCAGAATGAATTCTTTGGACCCACAGGAAAGCACTCCCTGCGCTCTCCTGATTCGCATTGCTACCTCCTTTTGTGCCCGAATTACACAGTGAAAGGTTAGTCAGCGATGCCGCCTGCACCGAGGGAGTTCATTTGTCTCCTGTTTCTGTAAAAATCTTCCTGCTCTCCAGTTCCTCCTCCTCTTTTCCCATACACTGCCACGCCACCCACCATGCGTGGTTTGTTTGCTGTCCTAAACACATTATTCGCAGCATTATATCGAAGGTTTCAAATTGCTGCCGCTTTCCCTCTAAAGCTTGTTCTGTGAGCTCTAACTTTGTCCGCAGCCACAGGCACTCATCAAAAATATCCTGCGGGGTCAAAACCAACCCTCGAGCCATCATCCATTGGATGCATGCCCCGGCAGGGCTTGAGTCCAGCTTCAAGCCCACCTCTGTAGCTAATCTTTTCAGTACCTTAACGACACATTCTGTCCGACATCGGCTGGCCAGCTCCTGCGCCACACAGCACCCGCACACGAGTCCTGCTCGTGGCCTGCATGCAAATCACGTCGGGGTCACCATTTGTTGTTAGCGACATTTGAGCCCGGGATCGCAGCAACTCAACTTCTACCGTTGAGGGTCATCGCAGACAGTTAATCCAACGTGGAAGATGCTGCAAATGGCGTTTATTGCGTCACTACAATTGCTTATCTATGTTAAGCCACGCCCACAACGCCTCTCGTGGGCAGTCTACGCTTTCCATTACATCGTGAGATCTTCCAAACGCTGGCCCCTGCCTAGGGTGGGCTCTGCTCACCACAACACAGATCGAGCAGAACAAGTGACATTGTTTCATGCAGAAAATATTAAATACTTGCATGCTTACAGAATAGGGTAGTTTCCTAGTGGTTTCCTAGTGACAGCTGTCAATCAGTATAATGTAAAGTTTCCCTTTAGTTCTCTTGCATCTCTGTGGATGAGGAGTAATCTTACTAAAGCCGATGAAGTTGTACTAATCGCGATAGGTCTGAGCTGTCTTGCTACGTTGCTCTATGCAAGTAGAATTAAATATAGGCTAGGTTTAGGTTTCTCAAGTGTCTTTTAGTAGCAAGAAAGATTAAATTTTTCAGCCTTTGGAGAAAATATCTTTAATTTTGTATATAATGTTTTATGATGTCTATATGTATAAGCATATGCTCCTAGAATGTTCTGAGGTGAAAACTGTGCAGCCTTCCTGCCAGCTCAATGTTTGCCATAGTAGCCTACAGCTTCCCATTAGAGTAATACCAAATGAGGTGAAGTAAATCTTATATCCTCATACATGCCTTTCTTACACATTTGTTATCAGATAACTTTGTATTCGAATAACTCAGCCACTACAATAGTCTTTCCTATAATACTTGCTTTATTTTAAAAATCCAGACCTTGACACTTTGAGAGAAAACACAGATTTGAACTAATAAAAAAAAATACAAAGTGAAAGTAATGGGGAATTTTTTTTTTTTTAAATTGTCCATCAACAGTTAAAATTTTTGATTTACTAATCAGTCAATTACTCTACACATACTTCAGCATTATAGTTTTTCTGACAATTCAGCATGTACATTTTACATTAGTTATAGAAATAACATTCATATCCAATAACATGACACAGCAGAAATGCAGATGTGAATTAAGTGTAAAAGTCAAAGTTAAGAATCTTCAGACTTACTGATGAAATTTCAGCTTTGTCTTAATAGCACTGTCAGGTTAAAACTGTGGGGTTTTGTGTATATCGTCTTAGATATTCAAGTACTTAAAATTAACGTGTTCAGCATTACAGGTGAGTAGTCATGAACACTTTCGACAATGTTTACATGACTTGCTCAAATATTACATTGACTAATTTTATAGTTTGGTCAGCTTTGAGGGGAAGTTCATTTCTGCTTACAGAATGTGCTGTTTTGCTCCAGTAGAGTATGCTCCAGATGCTATTTCTGTTATTGCCTTGAATTATCCAAACCATGCTGTGTACCCCAGATAACAAGAGCAAGCTGTAGAGTGTGTTCAGTATTTGTTTTGTAGATGCTGGATTTGTGTCTTGTTTGTCTTCATTGTGGAGGAGTAGATTGCCATTAGCATCTAGAAATTGGTCCACGTAGAGACTATGTGGGTGAAAGCAGCACAGAGCAAGGAAAAAAAAAGATTGTGTGTATATTCAAGAACTGAAGTTTATAAAGGTTGACTTTTAGATATCTTACAGTTTGTTAAAGATACTATCTTAAAGAATAAATCCAAGAGCAAAATTCTGCGTTGTTTGAAGTCAGAGAGTATGATGCAAGGGGACTGAGTTGCTTCACCTAAATCATGAATCTTCTCTTGACTAGAAACATGCGGACTAACATACGAAAGTCTGTTGACCATCTTTTTCTTGTTATAGTAAGTGGTTTGTCTTCAGCAAAACATTCTTCTGGAACATAGTACTATAGGCCACTACCTGCCTTCATAAGACACAGACTTTTTTTCATTCCGAAGAAGCCATACACGATTGTATACGTTGTTATCTTAAAAACCTAGTTTTTAAGTTTGAATCTCAGTGGTTGACTACTAATTGAAGATAAATATGTAAGAGATGTTTATAAATTTGCTGTGTCTTTTTGTGTTATAGCTGTTGATATAATTGGTCTCGATTGGAAAATAGTTCCACTTACAATCACCAACACTTATAATATCCAGTCTAGTATGTGGACGGAAACATGTATGGTTACTTGACTGCATTGTGGTTGTTCACTGACATCTTGTCGTTGCAATGTAATGTCTTTTATTCAATCTGGAGTTGACTGTTCGTGCTAAATTTGGTTATTAAGTTAAGTAATCAGTCTTTGTTGAGGTAATTTTATAAATAAGATTTCCTGAAAGAAGTGTCTGCAGGCAAGTTTCCTCTGTAATTATTCGACCATTTAAGAGCTGGAAGTCCCAAAGGTGAAGCAGACATTTACGTGAAACCAAATCTATGTGGAAAATGCTTTTTCTTTTTTTTTTTTTTTTTGTCCCTGTCAAAGACTTTGTAGCTTCTGTTGATGGCATGAAGGCATCTTGTGCACTCAGTTGACTAGTATGAAGAAAAAAACCCCATAACCCTACAGTTCTGTAGGCAAGTCCCTACGTAACCTTTGCAATAGTGGATAAGTGCATAAGATATTAAATATAACTGAATGCAGTGGTTTAGCATGACTTTTTTACTGGGAAAAAAAAATGAAACTATATGTCTCAATATTTTGGAAAAAAAAAAAAGTGAAATAGTATGATAGCTAAAAGATATCTGAAATGCTGGGGTTTGAACCCCGAGCCCCAAATTAAGGTTGACATGTGGGTGATTCCCACAGCCCTTCATAGAGAGGTGGTGAGTTTGCCTTATAGCTTCCCCCCAGGGTGCGGCCGGCCCTGCAGGGAGAGCCATAAGGGAAATGAGCCCCAGGGGTCCCGCACTGAGTTGACAAAGGTCAGGTGTCTGCTTGGGGATAAAAGCTGGGACCACTGGCAGGGAGTCAGGAGTGTCTGTCAGTGGAGTGCACTCCTCAGAGCTTCCTGGTTCAGGGCAGACCTCCTGACTCTCCCTGGAGCTGGGCCCCAGTCTGTTTAGACCTTTGTGAACAGGGGCTGATCGGGTGAGCGTTGCCATGTGGGCACCTTTGTCGTATATGTTTAACTTTGTGACCTGGCTGTTTCCCTTGCCAGCTATGGGCAACCTCGTGTCTCTGTTTGTACCACCTGTTGTGGGCCGAGTCACATCTTTTGTGGGATTGTTGGGGGTGGCGTCAATTATGTACCAGCTGACTGACTTGTTTGTACCCCCAGTGGTCATTCATGTTACAATGTTTTTGCTTACAATACAGTCTACTTATTGGTTTCTCTTCCTGCTGTTTGTGTCGTTCCTGTTAGGCCTAGTCGTTGGCAGAACAATACCTTAACTTGTTTGTGTTCTATATAAATAGTTATATATGAGATAATTTTTTAAAAAATCATCCATTAATGATTTGTAATTCCTAAGACTAATTGTTCACTTTGTAAATGCAGCTAGACAGAGTATCAGTATGTCAGGAAAACATGCATTTATGGTATGATGTATGGCTATAGTGGAAGATTTTCCTAGTTTTCTGTTTCTGCTATTTAGAATTGAATTCTAGCCTTTTGAACTGCAGTATTTCAATACACCTCTGCTTGATATTGGACTCTAGGAATGGTATTTCTGTCTCTTTTGCTCCTTTTCTCCTTTTTCATTCTTGGTGGTATGTGCATGTGCATACAAATGTGCCCTTGCACTATCTCCCTGAATCTTTGGTGCTTCTAGGTAGGGAGAGGACCATATTCTAATTAAATGTGGTTATTATGAGATTGTGATTAGATACTGAAAGCTGTGACTGAGAGCTGATGAATATCCCCCTACAATGAATTAATAGAAAACGCTGTGTGTGTGTGCACACAGTATTTCAATAATTTCATTTGTAAAACTCTTGAAGTTAGGCCATCATTTATGTGCGAAGGTGGTGATATATCTCTCTGTGCCCTATGCAGAGCATTCATAAAAATGAATCTAATTAGATTTTAAAGTGGCTTAGTTACATAGTACCATATCCTTGTATAGATACAATAATTTAAAAGTAATTTACTTTTAAAATGAGTTAAGCTAAGCCCACTGAAGACTACTGAAGTTCTTAATGAGAGTGTTCACATAGAGGTTTCCTGTGAATCTACATTAAATTAATTTCCACACCTGGTTTTGAAACTACTTCTTAAGGAATGAAGGCATATAAACTATGTGCTTTGCGGTCTGTAAGAGGAGAACAAAAGTCTCAGATGATGTGTAGTGATGTGTAAAGACCTTGATTCCTAGCTAGTCTGCAGAACCCTAGCAAACAGTGGTTTTCTAGTCTGAAATAGAGTTATATTCCTGTGTCTTAAGGATATAACCATACTGTCTTTGATTACTTTCAGCTGCCTCTGACAGACATATCAAAACAAAGAAAAATAACATACTCTGAAATCATTCTAATCAGAGATCTTAGAATACTTCTCAAATTATAAGACAAAACTCCTATGTAAGAATTTTCCACTTAAATAATTGCAGAAGCCTGAAAGTCCAGTTACTGATATATATTATCAATGACACACCTGCAAATATGTTGTGATTTAATTTGAAGATTTGCAACTGACTGATAATCATTATTAAGACACAAATGACTTTAAGCTTTAATTTAAGCATGTGTACCAGTTTTATGTTACTCGTGCAAGCTTCAAGGACGATATTAATTGGAAAGACAATTTCATTTAGAGATTATCTATCTTGTATCTTGGTCATAAAATGAACTCTATTGTGGCAAAGTTGTGAAGCAAATGTTAAAAATTAAACCTAATTTAACCTTTTTTCAGCTTCTTACATAGATTTGTTCTAATTGGTAAATTTTTAGGGATATTCTGCATTTTTCTGAACGAGAGTGTTTTTTTCTTGCAGTACATGTGAACAGACATGTAGGCACAGGTCTAGCACTTCCTTTTTCTTTCTTTGATGCTATTTTGGCTGTTGTATGCAATATGTCATTTAAGGTACATTATTAAGATGGTGAGGAGTTCTGTGCAGAGGTATGCTTAGCAATAACCTTTACTCATAATGTGATATTGTCTGTATGTCTTATTTTGTTCAGCTTTCTCTGGGGCTGATGAAGCCTAAGGCTGCTGTTTCTTTGAGCTGCTGATAATTTTTTATCTGATTAACTGACACATTTTGTTGAAATCAGACACAACCCTTAGGCTGGGCATGGATTTAATTTTAAAAGTATCAAAGGTTTGCCCTGTGTGCTGTTTAATCAGCATGTTTATCAGGCAAAGAAAAATTACTGGAAGGACCATAAGGGAGACGGTTATCTTAAGGAGCAGTAACTTGGGAAATTGATCATAACTCCAAGGTAATTTACAGCTAACTTTTACATTCATGAATATAACATTTCCCCCTAATAATTACAACGGATGTAATATACTAATTAAATTGAAAACATTAGCACTAATACTCTTTACTGAACTTGGAGAGGCTCAAGTAAAGACATTAAAATGTTAGATTAAAGAAAGCCTTTGTACTGATACTACTGCAACTTATGTACTTACTAGTAGAACACTTCTACCAGTACTGCATGCTACAGTACATATGTAGACATTTCCTCAAATTACCATCACTACCCTTAATTGAATTTCAGTCAATGAAATAAGAAACAAACAAATTTAAATCACAGTGTGCTAAGATAAATTACTTTTACATTTCTGTTTATATTTTACTTCAGCTGTGAACCACTATGTCACTACTGTATATGGGTATTACAGAGCCACCTTAACAACAGCATAACAGTGAGCTTACTCATGCCACTGATGTTCTGGAGCTTTCACAAAACTGTTTAATTTTTTATACTATCTTCTGATAAAAAATACAGCTAAAAGAAATTTATGATACATGGACAGCAGCAATTTTGAAATGTGTTATTCATTAAGCTGTTTAAAAATAAATGTAACTTTAAAACTATGAAACTTTAAAACTGTACATTTTATTACAGTTACAGTTGCAAAGATTGATTTGCTGTTCAAACAGTGGTTCATGACAATTATTCTTCATGAATGTTATGAACAGGAATAAATTAATGGTTATAACAAGAGAGGTAATAATGATGTAACTTAACTTACAGTTAAAACAAAGCTAATAATTCTCATGTACATAAAAATGCTGTACACTGCTGCTAAAAAATTTGTGTTGCTTAGATGCTTTTCAAAAGCTGTGTTTTATACCTGCTTTGTAAAATTAGTAATTTTGGTAGTTTTGAAGGGGAAAAATAAGTTTTGAAAACTCATACGGGAAGCAAAAAGTTGGTGACATACATATACATCTGTGCAGATCCCTGATATTTAGCCTGCAGATGTCAGCCTGCTCTATGCACGCTGCGATTAGTTTGGTGAGCATCCTGTGTATGGTACCAAACCTGATCAGATCCCACATTAGAAGATGAAGTGCAGTACTCAAGATCTGGCACCATTCATTCTGGGTTTGGTTCTCTGTTAACCACAATCAGCTCAACTGAAACAAGATCTTATCTAATTGCAAGCTATCCAGTAACTCTTCTGATATCTAACGGTGAATCCAAAGAAGAAATAGTTTTCAGTTAGTACTTTTTCCATACTTCAGGTGATCATAGAATCATAGAATCCTTTAGGTTGGAAGGGGCCTCCAAGGTGATGAGCTGAATGCTCTCTGCAGGAAGGCTTTATGTAAACTTTATCCAGTTGAGGACTTAAAAAAAAAAAAAAAAAAAAAAAAAAAAAAAAAAAAAAAAAACGACCTGTTGTTTTTTTCCATCCACTTTATACTCCATCCTTCTTCCCTTCAACCTTGATTTTTTGGA